TAAGAGTTTTTATGGTTTCATGACTTACATTCAGGTCTTTGATCCATTTTGAATTTACTTTTCTGTATGGGGTTAGACAGTGATCCAGTTTCATTCTCTTAGCTGTCTAGCTTTGCCAACACCAGGTGTTGAGTAGGCTGTCATTTCCCCATTGTATATCCATGGCTCCTTTATCGTATATTAATTGACCTTATTTGTTTGGGTTAATATCTGGACTCTCTATTCTGTTCCACTAGTCTGTGGGTCTGTTCTTGTGCCAGTAGCAAATTGTCTTGATCTCTGTGGCTTTGTAGTAGAGCTGAAGTTGGGAAGTGAGATCCCCCCTGCTTTATTACTTCCCAGGATTGCTTTGGCTATTCAGGGTCTTCTGTACTTCCATATGAATTTTAAAACTATTTGTTCCAGTTTGTTGAAGAATGTTGTTGGTATTGTGATAGGGATTGCATTGAATCTGTAGATTGCTTTAGGCAGGATGGCCATTTTGACAATATTAATTCTTCGTACCCAAGAGCATGGGATGAGTTTCCATTTATTAGTGTCCTCTTTAATTTCTCTTAAGTGTGCCTTGTAGTTTTCAGGGTATAGGTCTTTCACTTCCTTGGTTAGGTTTATTCCTAGGTATTTTATTCTTTTTGATGCAATTGTGAATGGAATTGTTTTCCTGATTTCTCTTTCTGCTAGTTAATCATTAGTGTAGAGGAAAGCAACAGATTTGTGTGTATTAATTTTGTATCCTGCAACTTTGCTGAATTCAGATATTAGTTCTAGTAGTTTTGGAGTGGTTTCTTTAGGGTTTTTTATGTACACTATCATGTCCTCTGCAAATGGTGACAGTTTGACTTCTTCCTACCAATTTGGATGCCTTGTATTTCTTTGTTTTGTCTGATTGCCATGGCTAGGGCCTCCAGTACTATGTTGAATAACAGTGGGGAGAGTGGGCATCCCTGTCTTTTCCTGATCTTAGGTGAAAGGCTTTCAGCTTCTTGCTGTTAAGTATAATGTTGGCTGTGGGTTTGTCAAATATGGCCTTTATTATGTTGAGGTACTTGCCTCTTATACCCATTTTGTTGAGAGTTTTTATCATGAATGGATGTTGAATTATGTCAAATGCTTTTTCAGCATCTATGGAGATGATCCTGTAGTTTTTGTCCTTCTTTTTGTTGATGTGGTGGATTATGTTGATGGATTTTTGAATGTGGTACCATCCTTCCATCCCTGAAATGAATCCCACTTGATCATGGTGTATGATCCTCTTGATGTATTTTTGAATTCAGTTTGCTAATATTTCAGTGAGTATTTTTGTATCTATGTTCATCAGGGATATTGGTCTGTAATTTTCTTTTTTGTTGGGGTCTTTGCCTGGTTTTGGTATTAGAGTGTTGCTGGCTTCATAGAATGAGTTTGGACGTATTCCCTCCTCTTGTTTTTTTGGGAAACTTTCAGGAGAATGGGTATTATCTCATCTGTATATGTCTGATAAAATTCAGCAGTGAATCCATATATCCCGGTGATTTTTTTCTTGGGTAGTGTTTTGATTACCGATTCAACTTCAATTCTGGTAATTGGTCTGTTTAGATTTTCTATTTATTCTTTGGACAGTCTTGGAAGGTTGTATTTTTCTAGAAAGTTGTCCATTTCTTCTAGGTTATCCAGCTTGTTAGCATATAGATTTTCATAGTATTCTCTAATAATTCTTTGTATTTCTGTGGTGTCTGTCGTGATTTTCCTTTTTCATTTCTGATTCTGTTTATGTGTGTAAATTCTCTTTTTCTCTTAATAAGTTTGTCTAGGGGTTTATCTATTTTGTTTATTTTCTCAATGTACCGCCTCTTTGTTTCATTGATTTTTTTTCTATTATTTTATTTTTCTCAATTTTATTTATTTCTTCTCTGATCTTTATTATGTCCCCTCTTCTGCTGACTTTGGGCCTCATTTGTTCTTCTTTTTCCAGTTTCAATAATTGTGACTTCAGAAGGATTGTTTTCCTTCTTTAAATAGGCCTGGATTGCTATATACTTCCCTCTTAGAACTGCCTTCGCGGTGTCCCACTGAAGTTCAGGCATTGTGCTATTGTTGTCATTTGTTTCCATATATTGCTTGATCTCTGTTTTAAGTTGGTCATTGATCCATTGATTATTTAGGAGCATGTTGTTAAGCCTCCATGTTTTTGTGTTTCTTTGTACAATTTTTTTCTAGTTTTATATGTTTGTGATCTGAGAAGTTGGTTGGTACAATTTCAATCTTTTTGAATTTACTAAGGCTCTTTTTGTGGCATAGTATGTGGTGTTTTCTGGAAAATGTTCCATGTGCACTTGAGAAGAATGTGTATCCTGCTGCTTTTGGGTGTAGATTTCTGTAGATGTCTGTTAGGTACATTTGTTCTAGTGTGTTGTTCAGTGCCTCTGTGTCCTTACTTATTTTCTGTCTAGTTTATCTGCCCTTTGGAGTGTGTGGTGTGTTGACATCTCCTAAAATGAATGCACTGCATTCTGTTTCCTCCTTTAATTCTGTTAGTATTTGTTTCACATATGTTGGTGCTCCTGTGTTGGGTGCATATATATTTATAATGGTTATATTCTCTTATTGGACTGACCCCTTTGTCATTATATCATATGGTTTTTAATTTTGTTAATGTGGTATATTTGTTACTGTTAATGTTTTTGTTAATGTGGTGTATTACGTTGATTGATTTACAGATGTTGATCCATCCTTGCATCCTTGAAACAAATCCCACTTAACTGTGGTGTATAATCCTTTTAATGTATTGTTAATTTCATATTGCAGATATTTTGTTGAAGATTTTTACATCATGTTCATCAGTGATATTGACCTGTAAGTTCCTGTTTTTGTGGTATCTTTGGTTTTTGTAGCAGTGTAACGCTGGCCTCATAAAACAAATTCGGAAGTGTTCCTTCCTCATCAAATTTTTTGAATAATTTTAAAGGATAGGTACTAACTCCTCTTTATATGTCTGGTATAATTCACCTGTGAAGCCACCTGGACCTGGACTTTTCCTTTTTGGAGTTTTAAAATTACTGACTCAATTTTTATTACTTGTAATTAGATATATTTTCTATTTCTTTCTGATTCAATCTTGGACAATTGTGTGTTTCTAGGAATTTATCTGCTTCTTCGAGGCTTTCCAATGTTCATCGTAGTCTCATGATGTTTTATATCTTCTGTGGTGTCAGTTGTAACTTCTTTTCATCTATTTATTTGAGTCCCTCTCTCTTTTTTCTTGATGAGTCTGAATAAAGGCTTATTGATTTTGTTTATCTTTTCAAAGAACCAGCACTTTAGTTTCATTTACCCTTTCTATTTTTTTGTCTCTATTTTATTTCTTTCAGCTCTGATCTTTATAATTTTCTTCTTTCTAGTAACTTTGGGCTTTGTTCTTTGTTTTCTAGTTCCTTTAATTGTGAACTTCAATCTTTTATTTGAGATTTTTTTCTCATTTCTGGAGGCAGACCTCTGTGCTATGAATTCTGTCTTAGAACTGCTTTTGCTACATCTCATTGATTTTGGAAAGTTATGTTTCCATTTTCATTTGTCTCAGGTATTTTTTTATTTGCTCTTTAATTTCTTCATTACAAATGAAGAAATTCACTGGGCTACTTTGGTTTAATAGCATGTTGTTTAGTATCTGTGTATTTGTGTTTTGTCCACTTTTCTTCTGTAATTAATTTCTAGGTTCATACCATTGTGGTCAGAAAAGATGCTTGATATAATTTCAGTCTCCTTGAACTTATTGGGACTGTGTTGTGGCCTACCATATGATCTGTTTTGGAGAATGTTCCATATGCACTGAAAGGAATGTGTACTTTGAAGTTTTTGGATGAAATGTTCTGTATATATCCGTTAAGTCCCTCTGTTCTAATAAGTCATTGAAGACCAATGTTTTCTTACTGAGTTTTTTGTCCAGATAATCTGTTGAGATAAGGTGGGAATTAAAAGTCCCTTACTATTACTATATTACTGCCAATTTTTTCCTTTATGTCTGGTAGCATTTTATTTATACATTTAGGTTATTCTATGCTGGGTGGATAAATATTTATGAATGTTGTACCTTCTTGGATTAACCCCTTTATAATTATGTAATGCCATTTTTTTGTCTTTTGTCACAGTCATTGTTTTAAAATTATTTTGTCTGATATGAACATTGCTAATCCAGCTTTCTTTTTGTTTTTATTTTCATAGACTATGTTTTTCCATCCCTTCAATTTCAGTCTTGTATGTCTTCAAATCTGAAGTGAGTCTCATGTAGGCAGCATATTGGTGGGTCTTATTTTTTTTTTTTAAATCAATTCAGTCACCCTATGTGTTTTTATTGGAACAGTTATTACATTTACATTTAAAGTAATTATTGACAGGTATTTTCTTACTGCCATTTTATTAATTGTCCTTTTTGGTTGTTTTTTTTTTGTTGTTGTTCTCTGTTCCTTTCTTCTCTTGTTCTCTTTCTGTGGTTTGATTATTTTCTTTAGTATTATGTTTGAGTTCTTTTCTCATTATTTTTTGTGTATCTATTTTAGATTTTTGGCTTGTGGTTACCAGGAAGTTCATGTATATATCAACCTATATATAATAATCTATTTTAAGCTGATAGTCAAGTTCTGATGCATTTTAAAAGCCTACACTTTTTTAACATAAAGGCAATTTTGTTTCCTATTAGTACAGTTACCCCAGATTTCTTTTGGTGAGAAAAGCTTAACATGTATTTTTCAATTGTTTTACTTTCTATCTTTTCATTGTTTTTTTTTCTTATAAAGTATCATTGATATACAATCATCTTATGCTGATTTCAAATGTACAACACAGTGTTTCAACAGTTACCCATATTATTAAATCTTCACCCGCTCCAGTAAAAGCACTACATTTTTATTCTCACCACATGTTATATTTTTAACATCATAATTTACATATTTTCATTTTGTGTGCCCCTTTATTTTTTGTAGTTATTGTTGTTTTTACTATTTTTGTCTTTTCACATTCATAGTAGCTTTTAAAATGGCTAATATTGTCTTTATTATATATTTGCCTTTACCAGTGACATATTTCTCTTTCATCCAGTTTCTTATTTCTAATTATGGCCTTTTCTTTTCAGCTTAAAGAAGACCCTTACATTTCTTGTTAGGCCAGTTTAGTAGTGATGAACTCCTTTAGTTCATGCTTGTCTGAGAAACTCTCTCTCTCCTTTAATTCTGAGTGGTAATCCTGCTGGGTGGAAGATTCTTGGTTGTGAGATTTTTCCCTGTCCAGCATTTTAAACATCCTGCCCCTCCCTTCTGGCCTGTAAGATTTCTGCTGAAGAATCACAACCAGTGCAAGAAGGTTAAAGTCTTCATGCAGCCTATGTTTTTAATTTACCAAATGTGGAAAAGAAAAAAAAAAACAGTTTTTCAATGCATAAATCACATATTTTCTTGTAAAATTAAGGTGTGGCTACTTATGAAGCAACGTGGAAACAATATTTATTCCTTTGTTTTTTAAAATGTCACAAATTATTTTAGAACACCAATAACTGTACATCTTAGAAAATGTAGAAAAAGTTAAATCCTGATTAGATTTTACTTCTTTTGCTTTGGCAAGACTAGAAACATAAGCCATTGGCCAATACTTATAAAAGGACTAATCAGTCAGTAGCTTTATGCTTGATAGGGGAAGAAAACCAATTTTGGTGTAATATAGATTCTCCATTCAGTTAGTGTTCTGGGCTGTACTCCAAGAACAATGTTCATTCCTTTTTGAAGAACCTCTTGGCTTCTACTCCTTCATATACATAAGTCTGAAAGATGTTAACAAACAGAAGAATTTACCATTAAGATTTAAGATTAAATAAAAATGTTTGTATTATCATAGCTTTGAAATGAGTTTATAGTATTTTCTTTCTTGGACTTGATAACATTTTATACAGACACAGGACACACCCATTAAAAACACATTTTGGTTTGTACTTACATTTTCAGTTAAAATAGAGATCAATATATTTGACATGTATAGAAGTTCTCTTCAATAAATAGGCGCATTAGAAACTACATTTTTAAAGTCAGTAAGATTACAAGAAAAGTATTAGTCTTTTTACTGAAGATATAACTCAGCAAACACAAAAATGAAATTACTGTTATATCATTATCTTTGGCTTTGGGAAATAGCTATAAACTTTATACAACTCACCTGGACCATTTCACCATTTATGATTTCTCGGACAGAATTCAGTTCATTTCCATTGTCTACCCGTTTGAATTTTCCAACATGTTTATTTCCCTCCATCCTCCAAAACCCCTATATATATAAAAATAGTAACAAATAGCATTTTTAAGACTCTTACATGTGTCAGGAAGTGTTCTGAAGTCTAAGATCTATTCCTTCAATCTTCCCAATATCCCTATGAAGTAGATACTATTACCTTCATTTTACAGATGAGAAAACTGAGATGGAGTAATTTACCTAACGTCACAGAAACAAGATTGAATCTAAACTGTTGGGCTGTAGAGTGTGTGCTGGTAATCATTATATTTGTCTTACTCAATAGTTTCCAAATGCTGAATTTCAAAAGTTTTCTATTCTAAATTTTTCATGTTAAAATGGGTATGCTATATATTTAGTTGTGGTTCAGATTAGTTTCATGGGAACAACTGCTAACCTTTTTTTTGTTTTAATTTTGTAATTATTGTAATAATTAAAAATGGCCATAATTGATAAAAATTTGACAGTTTAATTGCCATTGTAAACATATAATTTAACTAGAAAAATTCAGAGGCCATAAAGGTTTTTAAAAAATCAGTTAGAAAACATGATTCTAATATTTTATGCCTTAAACATTAAAAGCTATATTCCCAGTTACCTACAGTGTAGCATTAGAATCTTCCATTTGGTCACTCACTCTTTCACTAATTTATCCATTAATTTATTATTTCAATACATTTATTAAATGTCTATTATAGTTAAATTGATAACTCTAAAAGCTTTTGTTGCTGTCAGATATGTAAAGCTGAAAACACTGAGCTTTAGTGTTCCTTTATGAATAGGTCTGTACTCAGTCATTCAAAGGATGTTTTTCTAATATTTATTGTACAATTGAGATTTTTACAGATGTGTGTGAAAATAAACATCATATTTAATTACTCTGTCAATTTGTACAATATATAACATGGATAAACTCCAGTGGCTGCTTCAGTAAATGAAGGAGACCAACATTAATTAAACCATCCAATTACAGAAAGCAGAGATTATCTTAGTATTGTATAGAAAAATCAAGAATGCATTGTTTATAAAAAATTTCTCACACTCAGTTCAGTTCCATCTGCTAGGCTGTAATTAAACGTGACACCAAGCTCAAAAACAGTTTCAGTGCTTCGAAAAGTGCTTGATTCTTTGACTGTAAATTTATTTCCTTCTTGAGTAATTATCAGTTTCAAATTGTCATGAGCTGCAAGCTTCCTTTTCACCACATTAATACCTGCAAAGGGAAAGAGGTTGGAAAAAATAAAGTAAAAATGCCATAAAAAGTGTTTATTTTTCAAGTTCTGTTCTATTTATTTATCTACTTTTATTTTGAGGGCGGGTGGAAAACCTGATAGCATTGTGTTTGCACAAGACATTCAGATTGCTTCTGTGGAAAAGTTCAAGCTCAATCTAATCAAGAGTACTGATTGAAGCTATTTTTACAACATTTAAGAAAAATTAAATGAAGCATAGAATTGTAGAATATTAGAACTAAATATTTTAATAAAATGAGCAAAATTTTTATTTCAGTATTAAGTAAACCAAATTCCAGAAATGTCAAGTGAAGCATTAAAAAGTATTATATGCAACTTTAATTCCTCTTTATTTTAATGCCCCTTTGCTCCCATTATGGCTTTAAAATTTTGAACTTCATAATTCTTGCTTTTTGTAGCATTTCTGACTGTCAAAAAAATGAGAAAATTAGCAAGTATTGCAGTTTCAAATTCATTATTGTAAGAATGTATAAATACAGTAAATTTAAACTTAGAATCCCTGAACTGTAGGATATAATTAATGCAGATTTTTATTTTGGAGGAATGTCACAAATTTGTTTGCCCACCTTAGGCAGTGTACGTGCTGCCAGAGTATTGGTAGGCATTAAAGTTAGTTAAACTAAAACCCCCATAGAAACTACATAGAATCATGAGATTAATCCCATAGTTTCATATGTCAGAGGAAAAGAGAATTAAGTCTAATTTCTTCAGAGCCGTGAATATTGATGTAACTTTTTTCCATCACATTATATGGTCTTTGTTTTTCCATCCCTTAGAATTCAATGTTTTAAGTTTGGAAGTTATCATTACACATTGCTTTTTTTAATTCTCTAAACAAGCAAAAACGGTCAATTTTCAATGATACAGGCACAGTCAGCAGTTGAAGTATGACTAAAACATATCTTGATTGTTTTTGTATTTCAGAGGACAGCATTAAAGAATCTTTTCTTTCACTGGTAAGACTGCATTCTTCCTAGTGTAAGAAATGTTTAGCCATCACACATTCTGTATCCTCACCTTGAGAACAGGAGCCATTTCCTAAACCCTGAGGCTTGGAAGAAGTTATAAAGAGCAATGTCTGTGAGAAACAAAATAAGCCATTAAAGAATTAAGCTCTTACCCATTTTTTCCATGAACTTGTCATAGTTCTCACTCCGCTCTACTTTCCAAGTACCATCAAATGCCATGATCTCTAGTTGAGTCAGCCTCTAGGAAATCGGAGATTCAGGTCTGTCCTTAGGAGAGAATTTATTCTACTTCTTATCTTAGAACCAACTTCATATTGTGATGTGGAAGTTTAAAGTTCAAGAAATCACCTAACTGCATTAATGCCAAGCCATTCAATTTCTCTTTGTATAAATTCCTTAGTTCCTCTCCTGAAATTCAACTCACTTAAAACATTATTAGCATACCTGCCTACTCTGTCTTAAACTATAATTTATGGGCACATTTATTTCAAGAATTAGATGCATTCAAGAATGCATACTGTGTGAAAATAGATTTTCTGCTTACAAGTTCAAAGGACACACTATATTAGAGGTAACACAATTTAGAACATATATCAAATAACATCTGGGAAATGAGACTATTGATGAACCTATCTCTTTTTTTACAATACCAATTATCTTGTAAAGTAAGATCTCATGACCAAATACATTTGAAATGTTAAAGTTAGTATGATTTTTATTTTTCTAATGTATCTGAATGTTTATTTTTCTAATATATCCTTTTCTAATATGTCCTTTTGCATTGTATTTTTGAGTTATCTGGAGTTTGAATAAATATCCTGGCATGTGGTACAGTGAAGGACACATAGTAGGTACTCTAGTTGTCTGGAGTTTTAATAAATATCCTGGCATGTGGTACAGTAGATGACACGTAGTAGGTACTCATTAGGTTTTTGCTTTGTTCTTGAATAGTGATAGCCCACTGAGAAAAATTTTAAGAGGTAGAAATGTAGGTGGATAACATGAAAACTCCCATAAGAGAAAGAATCAGCTTTAAACATTTGTCATGTGCAGAGAAACTCAAAGTCAGATGTCAGCTATGTCATTTATTAAAATCATTCCTGTGTTTTACCTTTACTCTCTTTCATTCCCAGTCCTGATGCAATCAGAAGCCAAAGCTCAACATCTGTATGGCATGAGGGATTGGTGGATAGGTAGAAAGCCTACTGCAGGCTTCCAGCTTGGAGCAGGGCCGAGTTGTGGAGGTGAAACATTAACTTGGTACGAAGTGTGGAGTTTTGATTATTAACTAGTCTGAGCATACTAATCACTAAAAAGAGACAATTATTATGAGTAAATGTGACCAGAGAACCTCTTATTTATTAAATGTCAGTAGAGAAGCTATAGGACATGCCCAAGATTTCATTCAGGCTCAGGGGAAGGACGTATCTAATAAATTTGAACAGGACATTGGAAATAGAATCAAGTTTTTACATGTTGATTGTATCCATTGGGCCATTGTATCCATTGCCCACTTTTTATTTCATCAGGTAAGCATATTAAAAAGCAAACTACCTTATAGTAATTCCATTATTTCATTAAGAAAAAAAGACATCAGAACACATAAAGAAAGAGAGAAAGAGAGGGAGTTGGCAGAGAAAGATCATAATTTTAGAAGAATAAGGGCTTTTGCATTTGTAACTCTAGCTTTATGGGGGGTGGGAAGTGACTATTTTGTCTTTGCTTCTCTCTCTTTTGCCAAAGATAATGAAAATCTCATCATTTAGAAACTATCACCCGAGGATACTTGCAACTTGGAGAAGAATTTAAAAGTTTATGGTTACTCTAAAGCCAAAGACTGAAGTCTCTCAGGTAAATCCACTACTTATGGTGATTTGTGACTTTCAAAAACCATAGATAATGGATTCAGTCTTCCTTTCTAAATTAGAGAAATAGCTGTATCTGGTCACTGAAAGGAAGTGTGGTACAGTAAAATGAGCATGTGTTTCAGAAACAAAAAGACTTGGGTTTCAGTACTGCCTACAACACCCAATGCTATGCAGAACCTTGGTCAGATTACTCAATCTCTCTGAGCTTTAATTTCCTCTTCTATAAAATGAATATAATAATAATACCTAATATGTAGGGTTTTATGAACAAAGTGTATAAAGCATGTACCTGAGCAAGCAGTAGCCATTAAGTACTCAATAAACCTTAGTTTCTCTCCTCATTCCCTGAGAAAGAAAATCCAACAGCTATAATCTAAGAAGAATCCCAGGTCACAAACCACTTTGATTTTTTGTGAGAAAATCCATAACCTTCTGCTGTTTATTAGAAAGTCAACAGTTACTTAAGTATTTTGTGATTTGCACTAGTAATTAACTTGGGACTGGGTATGACTTGGATTTGTCTGTTGAGGAGAGCATGATGTTATAGTTTCCTCTAGGAATGCATCTCTCTGTGATCTCACAGTAATTGAAACAAAAATGCCCAGATCAGTTAGGAAAGTGGAGGAAGGGCAGGGAGAAACTAGAATGGCTTCTTACCATTGTTTGCCTAACAGTGGCTTCCAAACATGATCTCATGCCTTGTCTCATGGCCACTTTGAGCTTCCCGAAAGGGACAGAATAGGAGTGAATGCAGATAGCATTTGGACTCATGCAAACCTGCTAGTAAAATGGAGATGTTAAATACTCATTCTTCCATTGATCAGTGGCAGTAACCTAATTTAAAGTCAGTTAGGAATCTCTGTTGTCTACAGAATGGCATCATTGGTTATTTTTTTAATGACCAGATCAAATTTTCAACATAATGCTTTTCCTTTTCCAGTCCCCCAACTCTGTAGTTCCCGTTTTTATCAGTTACCTGGACCCTATCTAGAAAAGGACATACAAGACCTATAGAAAGTTTCCCTAAAGAACTTTCCTTTGATGGTACAGCTGGGTCCACCAGCTAGCTGATGGCTGACCCAGTCAATTTTGTTCTCTGATAATACTAGAAGACTGAAGGTCTTGCAGCTTGTACAGGTGGATAGATAGATAGGGTGTGTGTGCAAACGTGAGAGTGCAGATGAAATGGAGGTAGAATTAAACTCTCTTTGGGCTCTCTAGTACACATCAGCCACTGAGTGGTGTGGGAGAAGTGCAAAATCAGCAGAAGCTCCTGCTGACCCCTCCTTCCTCCAGGGCAAAGTACAAACTCCATTCCTTAACATGGCTTACAAAGATGCTACTTATATCTCCAGTTTCTTGCCATTCCTTAGTGTGTCCTCCAAGATCCAAACTTTTTAAATGCCTTGCAATCTCCAGTACCCTGAAGTGACTGCTTTCTTTTGCCTAAGGTTCCAGCTTGGTTGTTGACTGCTCTAAGATGCCTGTCCTGAACTACTGAGAGTAGATCAGGTAAGCCTACTTCTCCCAGATGTAACAACCTTCTGAAGGTCTCAGCATAGCTCATAAAAAATTCTGATGACAAGGGAAATATTCATGTCATCATGAAGTCCAGAGATTTCATGAGGGAAGGCAAACAATGTTTCAAGCTCATCTTAAAGGTATATACAGCTTTCTAGAGATCATAGAAATCCTTTGACCCTGTTGTATGGCAAGAAGGATATTTTTTTAAAATATCATTTATGGAAAACAGTATTTTCAGGCCTTTTATAATCACTTCAGAATTTATGAATCCTGCTTTTCAAACCCAAGATGTTTAACTTTTACATGTCAGAAAAAAGTAGTGGTCTGTCTCAGGGCCAGTAAGAGGAGGATTTCAGGGACAGATGGAAGGGGTAACAGGCAAATTTTAAGATTATAGTCTAATCCCTAGCAGTAAATGGGGAAGGAAGGAGAATTCTAAGGTTTGCCTATTGAGTTTACTTCATTCTGTTTTAACCATAGGCGTCTAAATTTTAGGAATATTAAAACACGTCAAATTATGTCTTAGGTATTGTACCCAATAGCGGCTGATTGGTTTTCTTTCAAAAAGACTATAGAGTTACACCAGTGTATAGGGAGATATCTACTGTATAATGGTGAATGCAGCTTGCTGCATTTTATAGGATCCACGTGTCAGTTGGGCGATCTTGCATGAAGGATCTGTGACTCCATCTTCTGCCTTACTTTTGTAATCTAGGTCTATTGCAAAAATGATGTGCCCCCTTCAAGCAATTTGCATCTCTTATACAGAGGAAGATGATTTGCACTATCTCAGCTCCCCACTGTCACATCCAAGCCTTTCTGCCTTTTTTAAAAATAAAGTCGTTTTCTTTGAGACCATTCCATTTGCTACTTCATCATTGTTATCTACCATCCTTTACCCCATCTGTCACTATCTACCATCTGTCCCCATCTAGCACTGTTATCTACCATCTGTCACTGAAAATCTTGGCATCTGGCTCACCATCATTCTCTGTGTCCTGCCATCATGCTGGTTGACCTCAAAGTCCACATGGATAAGCCACTTGTCAGACTGGCCTCACAGTTCTTAACCTCTTCATCTCTAGTAACCTTTACTTCTGTTACACTTTATCTACTTACATCCAGGCTGTAACCTGTGGTTTATTATCTCTGGAGTTGTTGCTTCTGTGAGACTTATCTTGCCCCTCTCTAACTGCAACTTCTACCCTCTTAGCTCCTTCATTTTCTTCCACAACGTACTTGTTGGCTTAGAGAGAACTTCACTCAGTTGATGCCTCCATTTTTTCTCAAATTGGAGCCCCCTCCTGGCTTATTTATACTCTTTATCCAGTCAATATCCTACTGTCAATAAAAAACTCCCTTGCACTTTCTCCTGCTCTGACCCAGTGCTATTGCACATGCATGGTTTCTGTTCTCAGCCAAATTGTGCTGCCGGGCAAGACTTCTGTGGATCCAATCAACTCCCTTTTCATTTGTGGCAGAGGCATGACTATCTTTTAATCATTCTCCTGTAGATGATTCTTACCTTGCCTTCAACAGATGACCTGCACATTACTCTGTAGAGGAAATAAACCATCAAGCAGTAATTCCCTCATTTTATGCCTTCTCATTTTCAGTGTTACCTGTTATCACTTTATTCTTATACATTTTTTTGCCCCCTTATTCATTCAACATGTGTTAGAATTCCTACTATGACCTAGGCACTATGCTACATTATGGAGATAGAAGAATGAGTACAGTTTCAGTCAAGAGAAAAGAACGCTTGAAATTATAATGTTGTGGCACATGCAAATATATTTTTTCTATATCTTGTTCTCTCCCTCTCTCTTTTCCTTTTCATTCTTTTTCCTTCACCAAGATGATCAAGTCACTCCC